AAAGACCTTTACAAAACACTAATAGGTATAAAATTTTAGTGAAGTCATGATAAACAGGATCTTATTTAATGGTCATATAAATACTTAAAACATATAAAGTTGTATTTTTTTTGTCTAAAAGAAAAGAGAAAAATGATTTTCAAGAAAGATTCTCAAGAGCATTGGGAAAAAGCACAAGTCTATCACAACCTCTTACAACGTGATGGCACTGAATTACTGTTTAACAGGCTTGATATCTAAAAGCCCAATCTATGCTACACATTTTGATTTTTGCTGACATTAAGTGTGCTAGAGGAAACTTGATACATGTGAGGGTTACAGGATTGGGCCACAAATGTCAATAACATATGCATGATGATTTACATCACTGTAAACTTATGCCCTATTGGACTCTGTAAGCACTCTGAACAAGAGCAATTGTTTTTGTTCAGGAATAAGATACTCACTTCTATGTCATTCTAACTCTCCTTTTCAAACTTGCTTTGTAATCAGTATGCTGACATGCAAAATTCTCTATTAAAAAAAAAATCTCCTTTTCTATTGTTGTACCAATATAAAAATTCTCCTTCCTGGTTAAAAAAAAAAGGAAAAAATGCAGCACTCATTTCTTCAATGTGATGTTTTTTTCTTATGATAAAAATTTATGAATACCTTTTTAAAAAAAATACTTAAAATACATAAAAATCTTTCTTTAAGGAGATGACAAGTGTAGGTACTCGTATGCATGTGACCCTCACATGTGTCAAACTTTAAATATTTATTGCTGGTGAAGTTTTGCTTTTCCAAATATAGCTCATGCTTTTTTGATATAAAGAGTCATGGTTGAGCCATAACTAGATGTAGAGGTTCTCTGTTACGTCATTGATTCGTGTATAAAACTTGCTCCGATCTGCATAGAACATTCTACCTCGGGAATGAAAAAATACACACTCTATTACTGAAAATAATCATCGGGTCCATTATTTTAGATTTTCATAACGAACAACACTGGCCTCTGCTGGTAACCGAGGTAGTGATGAACAAGGATCCATCTCCGAAGGCTGCAAAGGCACTGCTCTTATCAAGAAGGATTTAAACTCACTTGGGAATTTTGTTGTTATTGTTGCTGTTGATTTGTTGACAGTTACAGCTATAAGTTTATGAGGTCACCAAGGATGAAACTCTCTAACTATGGACTTAAATGGATTCAAATTATTTCTCTGGAATTTGCCATTTTTCAGATACTATCAATTAAGATTTTTAATACCACAATTTAAAAATAATCTTATCTTTCATTGACAAGGTGTTGAGAGTAAGAAGAGCATTGAAAATTTTTAACTAAATTTTTAAGAGTAATAACGATGTACAGAACATATATTCTTTGAAGTTCATTTGCATTACTGCCCCATATGAATCATCTGATTCATAAAATGCAATTAAGATTACTTGACTATCTGGGAAATACAACCTAGATCTTCATAGAAACTGTAAATCTTCTTCCCAGAAAATACTGTGTATCCAAGTGAAGACAGCTACCCAGAATTTTATAAAATCTTGTGTATTTGTTCCCCAAAAATCCTACAAAGGAAAATAGAGTATTTGTAATTTAATAATGTTGGGA